GCCGTGACCTACCAGTGAAGATTCACGGTGTCCGCGATTTTTCTCCACAGAAGCCGCGACTTCACCGTGAATTTTCAGCTGAAATGCCGCGACGAAAGTCGAGCCGCAGCCGTCGTCAACTCATGCGAACGGACTCGGAACCTCTATCGTATCGTTTCACTTCGGGCATGGCAGTTTAGCATCTCACATCCTAAATGGCCGAAAAGATGATGCTCGAGCAGGATTCGGAGGCAGGGAATCCGAGGGCTGCCGGAATAGACGGTGTTCAATTATTATGATTAGAGAACATCGCTCGGTCGTGGGCTGGGTTCAGACACGGAAGCCAGAATCGCAGAAGCCAGAATCGCAGAAGCCAGAATCACAGAAGCCAGAATCGCATAAGCCAGAATTCTCATTTGCCAGGATTCTCATAAGCCGGAATTCTCATAAGCCAGAATTCTCATGAGCCAGAATTCTCATAAGCCGGGATGGACCGTCGCCCTGACGGTGCCTTCCAACGCGCAACGAAGCCTACGCTTTTGATTCTGGAACGATGAACGCGCACGCGCGAGGTGTCGCTTAAGTGATGTTCTGGGATCTCAGAGGAGACGGAACGTCGCACCGAGAGTGGCCGCTGCATCTTTCAGCTGATAACACAGGCTGTGTCGTTCCATGAGCTGTAGTGTTGTGTGAATATTATCTGAGTGATGAGTTTGAGCTCGGTGATGTGTTGAAGAATGATCCAAGAGCAGAATAAAGAGTAGTCAGTAAATCAGGGTTTGTCTATCTCCGAATCTTGGTAGTCTTCCCGGACAGTTCGATTTCGAATCTCAGTCACGATAGTCGATTCCCAGTCTCGACGTCTCTTCTCGGAGACAAGGTCGCTCGGGAGGAACTCGACAACTTCGAGTCGAGCTCGAGGAAGGTTACTTTTGGCCCTGAGTAGCACAGGATAGCTCGCAATCGTCAGAAACCGGGACAGTCGCCGAAATCTTAGGGACAGTATTGCGATGCACACGTGACAAGTTGCTTCCAGAGTGATGTCGTTCGACACCTTGTCAGTGGGGCTTCGCATTGTTGTCATTGGGTTTTGCTTGATAATCGCATCGATCCGTACACTCCAACCTGTGTTCCGATTTCCATCGTAGATCAAAATCTTCGCTTTCTCGAGAGTCGATATGAGTGTCATGGCTGTCAAGGAAGTGCTCTCGGCGAAGGGGAAACCCCAATTCTTCGTGGAAAACTACCTTTATGAAGTTGAGAAGACGGTTGGTGGCAGGACATCTTACTGCAGATGCATCAAGCAAAGGAGGGACGGCTGTCCAGCAAGAATAACTATATTGAGATGGCCAGAACCGATGGTCCAAAGGCAGACTGGCGAGCATACTCATGCACCCGACACCGGCGAATTCATCAGGAGGCAGGCATCCGCTCAAATGAAGGATGCCGTTCTCGAAAAACAGGATAAAGGTGTTAAACGAGTTCATTCTGAGGTTCTTGCCGAGGAAGTGCGAAATTCGCGTGGTCTCTACGAAGATGAAGAGATAGGAGCAGCACTGCCAACATTCGACTCTGTGCGAGCCTCTTTGTATCGGGCTCGCGCAAAGCTCACACCGGCTTTACCTCAGAGTCGAACGGACATTGTCGTTGAGGGCTTGTACGGGAAAACTTTGAGCGACGAAGATTTCCTCTTGTTCGACGACGGCCTCGAGGACAAAATCCTGGCGTTCGGCACCGACGAAATGTTTAGTATCTTGTGCGAATCGCCCACTGTTTTCATGGACGGAACGTTCAAAGTAGTTCCCCACCTCTTCTTACAGTTGTACACCATTCATTCTTTCCACAAGGGTCAGATGTTTCCGCTCGTATTCTTCCTTCTCCCAGACAAGACCAAGGAGACTTATCGTAGGATGTTTAGTCTGTTGAAGAATCATGCCGATGCGAAGGGCATGGTGTTTGCCCCTCGCACATTCCAGCTAGACTATGAAGTGGCAACCCTGAGAGCCATACAACTCGAATTCCCGCTGTCGGAGATCAAAGGCTGTAATTTTCATTTTAGTCAGAGTCTCTGGAGAAAAGTTCAGCATCTTGGTCTCGTCTCTCACTACAACGATCCGTCGGTCAAGAAACTCATCCGGTCCTGTTTTGCCCTCAGCTTGGTACCGTTGGACAGAATTGACGACGCTTGGCTAGGAATCGACGCAGAGTCTCCGGCCGCGGATCATCCAGCGTATGAACGAGTAGGAGTTTTCAAGGAGTATGTAATCAATACTTGGTTGGAAAATGGGTCGGTGTTTCCACGTAGTTTGTGGAATCACTACCGCAACTTCGGTGCTCGGACAACCAATCACGTCGAAGCGTGGCATAGCGCGTTGAGTCGAACGATCAGGAAAGAACATGTAAACCTGTTCCAACTGATCAACTTCCTGAAAAAACAGGAAGATAAAGGGAGAGCGGACAGACTGTTGCTCCAGGCAGGACAAGCCCCACCGAGGCTCTCCTCGAAGTACAAGAGTCTCAACGACCGCCTTATTCGACTGACGGACGAATTCGAATCCGGCGCGAAGAGTTTGATGGAATATGTTCACTGCGTCGGATTCAACTTGAAGACTTGAGAATTGTGATCGTGAGCTTTAATTTAAGATCTCTGTCGTATCATAATCAGAGGATGAAATGTAATAATGCAGATTTCAGAGAAATATTTGTGCGAGAAATGAAGTCATACCTAGTCCAATATCGTTAACTCCAAGTCCATTCCTTCGAATGCGGGGCAGCACCGGCTTATGAGAATTCTGGCTTATGAGAATTCCGGCTTTTGAGAATTCCGGCTTATGAGAATTCTGGCTTTTGCGATTCTGGCTCCGGCGATTCTGGCTTCTTCGATTCTGGCTTTTGCGATTCTGGCTTCCGAGATAGTACCGTGGGCTGACAAAGAGCGTCTCACCGGCGCTACCAGGGTATTTCTGAGTGGACGGCAGGATGGATACCGCTGTTTGTGTCCGCGTAGGAGACTTCGGGATTTATCGATGATCTCACAATTAGATAGCCAAGGAATTCCCCTCATGCCATATGCTTCGAAACCCAGTCCTCGAATCTTAAAGTTTTCCAGCTCCTTATACGGCAAGTCCCATAGCAGCTAGATCTCCCATAGCAGCTAGAAGTTAGTTCAGCTGGACGCTAGACTCTAGCTGAACAAAACTCTCACGGAGGGAGCATCGAAAAAGGCTCGTGGATGGCGAAGTGGGATCAGACGAGCCTCATCTGATGAATCGGTCACGTGTCGGACAAGATTCCGGAGCTGAAAAATTCCGACAGATGAGAGGAAAAAGTTTCTCGAATCCATTCGGGTACAGTCAAGTCTTCCTAAGTTATAATTCTCGGGAGACCGATCTCGGAGAAAATTATAAGTTATAAGTTAGCGAAGGCTCATGTTTTTTCCTGTTCTTCCTCTTCCAGCGATATTTTATTAATATTTCTATGGTGAAAGTCTATGTTATAAGTTATTGGAGCGCTGCTGGAAATTGGTTCAAATTATAACTTAGCGAGGGTTTTTAATTTAGGGCGGGTTCAATTTAGGAAGACTTGACTGTATCTGCGAGACCCGCCCATAGGGGTTGACACGGTGAGAATCTTCCGGGGGAAGAGGAGCTCCAGTCCAGTGTCCTCCAAAAAGAGCGTCGTGTCCACCATTCGGCTCTGAGAGCCCGCTATGCCTTGCTCCAAACCTCTGACTTCGACGAATGAGCTCATTTCAGCGCAGAACTGTAGCCGAGCGTCCTTGGAGTTCACTTCCGTAGAACAGGCGACTGCTACATTCGGCGCGGGGTGCTCGGGTACTATTCGCTAGTTTACGGATACTCGGATGAGGGCCGTTTTTAGTCGTAGGCGACGGGTCCTGAATCTCATGCTCACCGGAGAGAGGGCGTGGACTACGGAAATCTGGCTTTTGCCCACCGCTGGGGATGACTGCTGGTTTTCTTAACTATGTCATGTCATTCTGCTATCGTCAGAGCTGGCTAATGATCGCTCAGAGAGAGCTCATGCTGGGTCCAGCGAAATGCAACGAACATGAAGTAGCTGCTTTTCCGAGCAACTTCCTCTGAACCAGAGCAAACTGCATCATCCATTGAAAAGCGCCGTCGTATAAGAGATCGAAGCATCCAGACGCTCAACCCAAGCATAGCAAGGCGCTCATCGCGGGGGAGGGGGTACCGCTAACCCCTTACGATTATTTACACAGGATCGGGACATGTACATCATTATGATTTTGGAAAAGTTGATGGGGTGTCTCCTCGGGAAGAACGATTAAGGAAAGGTTCTCATTCGCTTTGCACTACGCGCGGAGCTCCGCCCTCCTGAGCCTATCTGATGGGCTACGACTCATTTGTGGTGTGACTGCGCTCATATCTCGATCACGCGATTGAAGCAAGAACGCTCATCGCCATTCAACGATGAACTGTATCTGATGATTTCAAATTTGAGGTGCCCACTGATCTGCGCACAGACCATACGGATAGACGTTTGACGCTTGGTCATTGCACAGGAACTGTTTGTAAAGGAACAGCTCAAGTTCTCTAGAGAAACGATGTTCAGAGTTGTCTCGCTATCTCTAATCTGTAATCTGTCGGGGCAGTGGGTCCGTGTCGGCATGGAAACCTTCCAGTGAGCTCCCCGCGGACTGTTTCTCCTTCTTCGAATATCACTCTCCTCCATCTCGGAGCTTCAAAAGAAGCAATATGACCCCGAGCGGATCGGAGCGAGCCGCGGAGACGAAGATTGCTCGAAGAGAGGAACTTCGGACCATGCGCGCGCTTCTGTTCGAAGGGAATGCGTTCATGCCTCTGTGTTTATCAACAAAGATCGTACGATCATCCGTTCCTCTCTTCAACGTCAGCTCCTTCTGTTTGCGAGGAGATGGTAAAGACAAGACAAGTGTCTCGAGACTTACGTAAGGTCGTAGACCAGGAATAACCCATGATTCCGACTGTTATCGTGTTCGGTGTATGATTTCGACCACAGACAGGATCGGCAAGCTCCCGCACTGCCGCCATGGAGTCGCAGTGGCCACTACACGAAGATCAGAGCGTTCAGGATGTGAATGTCTTAGACGACTTGGACCTACTGTCAGAGTTCAACAGTGATCTCCTGAACGACCCAGTCATTCTTAATGGCATCAAAGACGAGGATTTCAATTTCGATATCGACCCTTTGCCGCCCGACCCTGCACCTCCGGTCGTCGCAGCCTCTCCAACGACAGCTACGGCAACACCGACACCACCGACCAGTGTTCACCCTCAACCAGTTCTAAGTGCGCAGAACTCTGTCGTGAGGAATCTAGTGTCACAGCCAGCTCCGACCCGAATTCTTCCGCCAGTCAAACAAGTGCAGGTATCAGTCCCGAACGTCGCAAATAATGGCAATCAGTTCGTGCCGCAATTCGTCAATCAGACAGTGGTGCAGCACAACCAGATCCCTACAGCCGGATCGAGCGTCATACCGCAGCAAAAAGTTGTACTCCACCACATTCCTCACTTTGGAGGTGTTCCGCACAACATAGTGGTCAACGCCAATCAGAAACCGCTCTCCGTGACAGACTTGCTCCGTATAAATCCAGAGCAGAAGGTCCAGCTGGTTTTGAAGGGCGGCGAGATTGGTTCGAACTCAACTCCGAACGTCCTGAACATCCCGCTTGTGTTGGATACGGAGAGCAATGTCTCGCTCTCGATCGACCACTCACCTCCTCCTGAACGGAAAAATTCCCATAACGCCATCGAGCGTCGATACCGTTCGTCGATCAACGACAAAATTGTCGAATTGAAAGATATCGTTGCCGGGACCGAAGCGAAGCTCAATAAGAGCGCTGTCCTTCGGCGGGCCATCGACTACATCCGCTACATCCAGAACGTCAACACAAAATTGAAAAAAGAGAACGCCGCTTTGAGAACGGCCCTCCAGCAGATCGGCCAGCCGACACCTCATGTCGACCTCAGTAATGTGGCGGCAACGCCTCCCCCGAGCGATCCATCCCTGGTGGATTCGGGCTCCGAGCCGCCGTCGCCCCCTTCCCCGACCTCTCTGTCGTACAATACGTCCGGCATGCGGGATATGACCCGCGTCGCCCTGTGTCTCTTCGGTCTTTGTATTTTCGCTCTCAATCCCACGGACATCATGCTCAAGAGCGCGTCCTCGGTGTCCGATCAATGGAAGGGCGGTCGCGCCATCCTGTCCGAGGAAGACGACTCACCCTGGATCGGCGTTCTTTTCACGCCCTACGTCATTTGGTCGATCAACTTCTTCCTCCTGCTGCTCTGTCTCGGCGATGTGATCCTGTTCGGAGATCCGGTAATGTCGATTGAGCAGCAGAAGAAGTTTTGGCAATTCAAGAAGCAAGCTCACTTCGATCTGGCTCATCATAACTACGAAGCGGCATACAACAACTTCGAGATGTGTTTGGAAACATTGATTGGCGCTCCGACTGCGGTTCCGCGATCGATATTCCAGACGTGGTCGTGTCTGGTCTGGCAGATCCTCAGACAGATAATGCATCGGATATACATCGGGAAATTCCTGTTCAAATTGAGCCGGAAACGGTACGCCAAGCAGCTCGAGAACTCCGTCAACCACCTGTCGGAAACCTATCACAACCTCCACCAGCTACACTTCGTCTTGAATAAGAGATCCAATTGTCTGGGTCTGTGCTACGCTTTGGCAGCGGTCAACTATGCCGAGTTGGGCTCGCAGTCCACCGAACATCTGACAGACACTTTCTTGACGTGTTCTCTCCGACTAATCAAATGTCTCCTATCACGATTTCACTTCTTGGCGAGATTCATGATTTATCGAGGGCAGCAATGCGCCCCTGGGGGATACGATCATCAATGGATCTTCAAACCGGAAGGTATACGAATTCATGGAGAATAGAAAACATTCCAGAATGGTTTTCGAATCGAATGAAATCCAATTCAGGACTCGTACCCCTCCAGCTCCACCGGAAAGTTATCGGCCGAGTTTTCAAGAGGTCTCAATTTTCAGGCTACAATTTCGTGACTAGACACCTATCGCTGAACTCCAGACCACGCACCTTCACCAACTCACTGCAGCTTAAGATGGTAGAGCCTTTGGACCTAGTAGCTCAGCAATACCGCTGGTTCCTACTGAAGAAAGCAATCGAATGTTTGGCACCTCAGGCCTCTGCTAATTGCAAACAAGGTAGACGCGAGGCAACCGACCGTTGCCTTTCGTTCCTCAGCGAGCTGGATAGGTGCCGTCAACGGAGGTCATTTGTATTTGGCTACAACTGGGACAGCAACTGCATTGAAGACACATCGACCTGGTGGAAGGAAATAGTCAAAGCCGCAGTAATGTTGGAGCGAGACCAGAGCAAAGGTGATTGCCGCCTACTCATTACTTCTGCATATTCTCTCATGATAACTCCGGGGACCTCCTCTATGGATGATTCCCGGCGGATGTCAATTCGCGATTCAAGAAGAGTCATGTTATAACTGATGATTGACCTGATATTCGATGAAGGAAGAAATTCGAGTTTATCGTGCATCTCCTGGGGAAATTACAAGTTTTCTCTCCGTCCCAACAGATATAAATGTCGCAGTCATTGAACACATGCCAGCAGAACTTTCTGAGAGCGAGGCTCACCCCCTCGCCCGAACTCTCCTCGCTTGTTTCCAAGCTCGGAGGCGCTATATCGATGCCACCTCCAAAGACATTGAAGCGATTCGTCAAGAACTCGACAGCTGCTCCCGTCTGCTGAAGGAATGTCTCTCATGGATCGAGATCCAACAGGGAAACCAGCAAGACATGGATTCAGTTTATATCTGTCTCATGACCGCGGCGGAATGGGTTTTCAACACGCGGAGAGAGTTGTGGGAGGTGAGTTCCGAGATGAATGACCATGAATCAGCCGGGAATTTCAGGGGAGATTTTACCCCATCCGTTGATAGCGCACTCGAGGGACTTGCGATGACATGAGATTCTGAGATCGAAATAATTCCCATCATCAGGAAACTCAAATTGTGGAATTGAAGAGTTTCTGCCAGGACTTCCGTCTCCTCTCATCCATTCTAAGATATTTTGGCGATTCTGCGATGACCAAGTTACGCTTCTACGACGCCGTGGAGAGGTTGGTCGGCGGCGGGAACCCAGTCGAAACTCATCGAATCTTCGAAAGCTGTATCAGACGGCGACGCAACAAATTTTCGCTGATCTGTACGGGGAGGATGGCCGAGAAAGTCGATACAGAGGATGCGCAATCTCTCACATTGGCTTGCAAGTGAGTACCGCTTTGACTTGAGGCTCTCATGCACCCATTTGGAACTCGGAGGTCTGTGTTCGTCCAGGCGTCTAGGTAATTGAACCACAGAAATCAAGTGTAGTTGATGGATGAATCGCTTCGAAATCATTGCAGATATCTGTCCTCGATGTTCGACTCTCAGGATCAGCGTAATGTCTCGCTCTCCGACGCGTCACAATTGTGGATGCAGCTGGGAAATCAGGGAATGGCCATGAAGTGTCAAAAATTGATGCATCTAACTGGCAGCGTTTTTGCGTCGTTTTGAGGTGGAATCATCGGAGAATTCAACGCTGGTGAAAACTCATCATCACCATCGATGTAGAAAGTCCTCATTTGTTTAGCTGTGCGCCACGAGGGTCGGTGCTCGGCTGTTTCTGTTTTGGTGCGTTCTCGTTCATTGTTAGATACATCAAGAGGTGGAATCAATCGCAGCGAGGAGGTATTTTTGTGGCGTTGTCGACTCCTAGGTGAAACCTCGTTCGCCGGTGTCTTCGACTGATCGGCTCCTCCAAAAACATTGTTGCGATCAACCACATGACCCAGGCATTCTATGGAATGAGCGTCGGTATTGCACGATGATTGCAAGCTAACTTATCAGAGAACTATCTCAGCCTGTCAGAAGGACGTTGAATAAAGGACATCGACTATTCTTCTGCATTATTATTTTTGTTTACCCTCGCACGAATGTTTTATACTCATCGATCGATTTTCCGGGGTGGCGAACACGAGTCGCAGGTGGGCGTCAGATGTTGCGACATCTTGTGGAGAGGTTGAGAATTACGTTAATTTTGTGATTTATTAAATAATCTTGTCATGGAGATGGTGTCTGAATCTTATCAACCAATGCCAGCGAGGCCATCGACATTCGCTACTGATCCGAGGACCGCTGCCGCATTTCCCTTCCGCACCTCGATGGATATCCTCTGTAGGAGAAACTCTCCAGCTCTCTTATCCCCTGATGACAATTTGATCCGGTTTCCAAAGTCCCGGAGGAAGGCCTCTGAAGACTCTCCAATGACTCCCAGCGTTCCGATGGCGACCGGCTGAACAACGAAACGATTTTCGAGCTCCTCATATTTCGATAACTTCGTTTTCTCTGCCAGTTTGGCCACCTCACCCGCAGCACAGACCGCGAGCGACCGGTGTGATGAGGCCAACGTGTCCCATACTGGCCGCTACTGTGCGGACAACTCAGACCGTGTTCATCTAGAGCGGAGACTGGAACCGTACATCTCGCACAGGCATGTGAAGAGCATAGAGGGAGTCCCAATCGGAGACCGGCAGCGATGCGGAGTGAGTTATTGTCCAGCATGATGCCGATCGGGGGGATGGGACGGCATAAAGCCATTTACCACTGGTAGGTGGAAAGAAGCTCTGAGTCCCGCCATGACTCTGTCATCGACGACGCCTCGAATTAGCTGAGAACGTCTCGATGATACGTTACGTTAATCAATTATACCCAAGGGACAGCTCATAATCTTCGCATCCAGGCCGAGGACTCATTGAACGTAGGCTTCGGGACCTCCGATCCACGGGAACGAGTGTGGAGTGTCGATCTCACCTTCGGGGGATTTTAGTCGGAGAATCCCGGGTGCAGGAAGGTTGATGGTGCGAAGAATCGTCCCAAGGATCGTAGTCCCGATGCACCCCTGAGTCATGATCTGCCCATATCAACCGAGCTCGCTGTGCTCCAAGGGTACACGAACCCAGAACGCCTAATAATATTTAACTATCCTTCATTCTCGAACGCTCTTCAAAAACCTGGTTCTCCGGTATATCGGTGCAATCCTGAGCGACTTCGGCGAAAGATTTGATCCCCTATGTCAGAGCTCACTTACAGGAAATGAATCTGATTGAGTCGTTTTCCCAAACCCAAATCTTGAATCATTTCCACCGGTGCTCGTTGGTCAGCGGATCCATGTGCGACTCTTTCCGCAAGGAACTCCATTCACTCGGGGTGTCTTCACGGGCCGGGGGTTAGAGTTTCTCATACGTTTGCTCTGAGAGGCAGAACTCCCAATGACGGAGCGTCGGGCGGCGCGGCAGAGAAGGAAGAACTCGGCTCTTGCCGCCGGCCATATTTGACGCGCGTTGATTACCGTCTCATTCCTAGATCGCGCACGTTCCTGTGATTTGTTCCTCGAATTTCCACGGAGATGAGAGGTTGATTTGCCCAGGGGAATCGGAGCCAGCAGTGCTGAGAGAGGCTGACCTCGAGATGAGCGTCGAAATCAAGTTCTGCTTCAGCTCGCCCTCTTTCAGAGTTTTTCTGACCTCCTCCAGCCATAGGGCTCCCAAGTGAGAGCGTTCTGGGCGTGAGAATCATATTCGAGACGACCAGACACTCCCATGAAATCAAGAAATGAAAATGCGAGAACTCTCCGCGTATAGCCATTGCATTTATTGTCATATACATGGATCTGGCCCGGAGCTCCATTCGACGATGATTGTGAGTATCGGTGTCTTCATTCGAGTTCTGGGCCGTACGACCTGGCTATTTCTCCGCCGTCCGTTGAGGATCCGTCGCGAAATTCAAAGAGGCATTGGAGAAAGCGGTGTCAGGGGTCGTTCACTTGGACCTGGAAGCAAATCGGTTTCGGTTAGTTTTCTTCCCAAGCAAGCTTCGGTTCGGGGATCCATCCATAGATTGAACGGTGTTGGTAAGGGTGAGGCAAGCTTTCTCTCTGGGCTCGACACAGAGCAAGACACGTGGTATCACCAAATGGTGGGTCCAATGCAATACGCGGTCCCGCCCGAATTGAGAATTACGTTCGACACCCACTCGAACCGTGTGGGCCCCCAAAGGTCCTCACTGTGCGTACACACGTGCACCTGATGCCACATTCTCCGGCAAAAATCGGCGACACATGCCTCATTAGGCCTACAATGCTTGGGCACCGAAAGTCGCGATTTTGCGACGCCTGGACAGGAACTGATCAAGGCCCCTTCGAGAAGAGTAATGTGCATCGACTGTGGGAATCGATAAAGTATGAGACGGCTCCTATCCGCGGAAAATTAGAGATATCCTACGCGTTGGTCGCCTGGCCACGTTTTGCGAGGGTACCGGCTCGAACGACACGCGGCCAGGAATGGGACCAAAAGATGAGGCACAAACTCACGCATTCGAGAAAACCAAGCGTCACTTCGTTTAGGAAATCTTGGATAAGAAAACTCACCTTTCCCTCATCTTCCTGCGTTTCCGCTTCAACCTTCGCATACGCTTCTTCCTCCACTTGGCCCTCATGACGAAGCGATTCGTCTGACGACCAAAACGAAAAGGAGCTGGCGTATGTACAAGATGGCGGCTATATATTGCCGACCGCAGCGCCCCCCTCTAGCTCTTTGACTCTGAGAGCGGGCTGTCCGCTATCTCTGGCCCCTTCATGACTTCAGATGAGATGAAGTCCCTACGAGCTTGAAGAATTGTCGGAAAAAAACTTGGTGCGGTTGATCTTGCTCTCCGGAGCCTCGCACACCTCGAGGGAATCGTCGGCGGACGGATGAGGCACCGTGCGCGCTATCAATAGGAGATTTCGCTCACTTCGATGGGTGCACGCGGAGAGCCCCGTTCCGGGGCCCGATCAAGATCAATAGAGGATTCCATTCCCTTATAAAACATATCATGAGTTCTCCCTTGATGAACGTGCGTAGGTTTCCGTCAGGTAGAGCGAATTGGACTGACTTCGCTGCTCGATTTGTTTTCGAAAAAGCGCGCTTGTCCGACGCCGGACAAGCATTTGGAGGATTGCCAACCATGCCACCTCCGAAACACGCGCGCACGGGTTATAGAGCGCAGTAATTTGCCTCGAGAATCCGTGGCTCCGTGAGTCATGTAAATGAGGTAACATCATCATGACCTTCGTCGAATACGCTCTCTGCATCTGAAGCTCCGGCTTGAGCGTCGACATGAGCGCTAGGGGTAGTGCGCGATTCTTATCCGCGCTCCGGTGTCAACCCCATGTGGGTCTCCCCGGCTCATCAGAGTTCCTTTCCTGTCCCGTGGGCATCTTCGGCGAGAAACTTCTCAGCGATACACAAAATCGCTTCGGAATATGTCGCAGCGTCCGCTCATTAAACCTCAACACAGAGCACGGGACCTGACGAGGCCCCGTCTCAGCGATGCTCGCTGCTACATTACCGGTGAGGAGCAGACAGATGAGAAAGTTGAGATCAAAGAAGATTCAGAAGAAGTTGATGACTTCGATTGTTCCAAAGATCCGAAGGAACCTCTATTTCAAAGACTGTCGTGTCGCGCACGTGTTTGATCGGTTCCTCCCCAGCGCCGTTGCAGGTGGAACAGGGGCTCCGCCGAGGGCCCGACGAAGGCGTGAAAGACTACCCTTACACGTTAGCCAGGCGAGGCAAACTCCCTGCGTCGAAAGAGTTCTTCCCTCTGATGAAGGGGAAGTATATGACGATGGTAGGAACGATGAGGTCGCCTTTGTCTTCGATACGTACATGCGAGTCGTTGAGGGTAGTGAAGACGCAAAGAAATTACGGTCAGGGTTCGTGAGAGATCACGATTTGTTCGTCTCTTGTCCTTTCTCATCACTAAATATCATCACTCTACCATTCATCGAGGAATGCCTCATGGTATTTGATAACTTAAGCTAGGTTTTCTACGATTGCGCGGCTGCTCGAGAAACACCCACAGGGCATACATGTCAGCATTATTCTCTGTTCGTCATGAAAAGTATGGACAGGCTTACTCGAATATCTAGAGAATTCCCATGACCCCCCGCATAGAATGTCAGCATGAGCAATGGGCGGCAATGAGTTCTGGGACAGAAGCGACCGTGCCGGACGATGAGTGGGTTCTTAGCTGACAGATGAGGACACATCGAGTTTGGCGAAGTTCGTGTATGGCTTCAAGAGTTCGACTGTGCTTTCAAATAGTTTGCGTTGCGTTTTCTCGTCGAATGATTTCTCAGTCGCTCTGACCGTTCTACAGAACTCCAGATATTCTCCTGATTTCCCATTCATCTCCTCACTCAAGAGAGCATACGTCGGGCATAAGGCAGCTTCGGTAGTGTTCTGGAATGAGAAAACCACTCATGAGCCGGGAATACAGAGAAAACTCATGTGAGCTGCCTCTCTGCCTCGCCTCAAAATATGAATTCTTCACCATGATGCTAATCGGTGCGAGGATGTTCTTTATGAAAACATGACGGTAGAGCCCCGTGTCTACCACGCCTGGGTGTACTGTGTTGATGCTCATTTTAGAAGAAAGGTACTTCGCGAGAAGCACCTGACATAGTTTCGCTTGGCAATAAGCAAGGTGTGCGGAGTACGCCTGCCTGTTGAGAAGAGAATTTTTTTCTGATGTTTCCGTGGAGATAGTCGAGCGAGCGACGTATTTGAGGTAATCTGACCGCGGTCGGTCGAGGGAAGCTGCTTACTTTCCGTGTAGATCCTTGAGATTTATGTAGCCCGGCTTATGACACACGGAGCTCGCGAAGACAATTCGGGAGCTGGCCGGCAGCACGGAATACAGTTCGCTGAGTATCAGACAATGGGAGAGATACGATACCACGAACTGAGACTCGAATCCGCCGCACAATTCGTACGGCACGTGCATAATTCCCGCTAGAACCCCGAGCGTGTCCGGTCAGTGAAAATTTTCAGAGCGATTGTCATAGATTCTGAGGATGATCTAGGGGGAACAAACCATTAAAAAAAGTATATCGACACGCGCACTGGAACTTTTCAACTCCTGACAAAAACGAGCCACTTGCGGTAGGTCGCGCAGGTCCACCCGATAATACTTGACTGGAAGGAATATCACCCCTTCTATGAGTCTCCACGAGCATTTTCTGCCATAGTAGAAGGAATTGAAGGTCTGGATAATCGATTGAGGTCCTAGAATGACTAGGAATGATGAATGATGAGCACAAACCTTTCGAGGTATCTCCGAGAGCCTGGATTATCTTCTCTGCTTCAGCTTGATGCAGAAAGTCCACTGGAACGGTTGTTAGTTCTGTGAGATCGATCTCGATAGGTACTAGGCCCGCAAGCGCTTCATTGAGCCACTATGAAAGAATCAATGATTACTGAGAGAAAATCGGCTAGAGTTGGTGAATTGAAAGTGATAGCTCACCTATCGTTACTGCGTTGTCATGCTCGAGGCATTTCTTCACGACTTCCCGGCCAACTCCACCGAGACCTCCAGTGATGAGGATATGAGAGTTTTTTCTATACAAAGATTCATCAGGCCCGGAGATTCGACCTAGAATTCGAGCTCCGATCAGGCCGCAGTCGATCGGTATCAGACTACCAAACCACACCTCCGATATGTTATCAGATGGCAATGCTCACCGGTTCTGTATTTGTATAACCATATGTATTGTACCAGAAGCTCGTAGAAAGCCAAGGCATAAATAATCAAAAACCCGTAAATCTTGAGGAGAATATCGTACACTAAGAGAGCGTGGCTCGGAGCGTTACAGAACAGTCTGAAAGTACACGATTCTTATCAGTATGATTTTTATATGCCGGAAACTTTCGATCGATGCAATAGAGATCCTATCTGTTGCACCGTGCACAACGGCGGTGTGGGAGTCGAGCGAAACTTGACTCACAGAAGCCAGGGCTGGCCATTGTGCGGAGAAGTGTATCTATTCACTTCGCTTTATCTTCTACCCTCATCTCTGCACATCTCTGTGGACCATGTAGAATCTTACGTCATTTCTCAGATGATCCTCGAACAGCTGATCTTCAATCTGAGTGCGTTCCGCGCTCCGCGTATAAGAAAAATTAGGAATGATTCGACTAGAGGAGTGAAGCTCCAGCTGATCGCTTCTTCGCTCCGACGGCCTCCTGTACCACAACAGGAGAAGGTGGGTCCCGCGAATCCTTGGAGGTCCCATCCAGATACGACGCAGAGGAGGAAGGAAAGGGCCGGGGATTGCGGTGGCGGCGGCGGCAGTCAAGTTGGAAAACGATGCGTGTGTGGGATCTATCCCAAACAGGCGCTGGTGGTTTCGACCACAAGACACACAAGAGTTGGTAGTGGGTAGTCTCAAAACGATGAGAAAGAGCTACAGAGAGAGTTTCACCATCGAGCTGCTGCTTCAGATCGTTGGTGTAGTGTGACTTAACGAGTTAAATCTGCGCACCTGGCTGCTGCAGCTGCTGCAGTCTACTAGATAGCGCGTAGCGTTGTGAATTCCAGCCCTGGTTCGTCTTTCAGCGGAATTCTCCGGACGTGCGCTAGAATACCGTGATTCTCGGAGAACACCGAGAGTCATCGATTTGACAAGTTCCTCGGGTAGGGCTGGTCCCGACTCGCACAGAACGTGATGCCAGGCGAAGAAAAGAAAGACACCGACGAGCGACGGACTTCTGGGGATGATTCGGAAGACGAGAGCGAGGTGTGTTTTGAAATGTGAGGTCTGCATCTAATGATATAGTCTCGCTCCGAGTCTCCGCATGCTCTTACTCATTGCGGTGTTTTGATTGATGCTGCCGAGCGCAGCTCGGGAGAGCGATCCCACTTGACTTGGTATTCTCGTGCCTCGATAGGTTCTCGAAGAATCGCCATGTGGTCGTTGGCACAAACGGAGGGAGGAGGTTCAACAGAGAGACATTCCGGGAATCGACGCCGCTTATCTCGCGATGGACACCGAAGAAGGCGTCGAGGTGGGGATCGAGACATCCGGCCGGAGCTTGAGCCTCAGATAATGACCCTCTGATGCTGGATTTGGTTCTATTCAGGTTGTATGGAATGAAGTCAACTTCAGCGAACGTAAGAACTTCAAAGCCATGGAGGAGAAAATCAAAGTCACATTCGACTCGCTGGCACAGCTTTCTCATCCCAACATAGTGAAGGTGACTGTCTGTCGATCATTTGCTCATCTGATTTCACTTGAGTCTCTGTATCGATCGCCTCGTGAAATTCACCGAAGATCCTATCGCAGCTCCGAATGTCATGTCGTTCGATCATGACATCGGAGGGCTTCCGCAGGATTTTTTCCGACGATTCTGGCTTGTCCTCAGATACATAAGTACTGGATCGACGATCAGAAAGAAGGACCTCCTCGAGTCATATTTATTACGGAATACATGAGCTCCGGCTCCGTGAAACAGTTCCTCAAACGGACCAAGAGAAATGCCATTAAGGTGGGTTCATGCTCGTCAGCTGATAATCGGCATTGGGCTCGACGTTCCCCCCTCGAACCGGTACCGGACGGATACGACTTTGTACAAGAGTGACTGAAAAGATCTTTGGAGCTCGGAGCGTGAACATTTTTTGATTTTCTACAGGGTTACCAGGTTACGATAAACTCTTGGAAACGATGGTGTCGTCAGATATTATCTGCGCTCTACTATTTACATTCCTGCAAACCTCCTATACTTCACGGGAATCTCACATGTGACACGATTTTCATCCAACACAATGGCCTGATCAAAATCGGGTCCGTTGCGCCAGATGCCATCAATATGCACGTCAAGACGGTGAGTTTGAGGCTCGGTGCCGGATACTCTCGAGCTTGGGTCCGCTCCTCGGAGAAGCTGAAGATTTTATTGTGCCTCAGCTCTGTCATGCTATCTCATGTGTATCGTTCATCCAGGTGCGTACGACTCAGCACTTGGACAACGTGCATTTCGTTGCGCCCGAGTATTCTGCCAAAACATCATTTTCTCTCATTACGCCCGCCGCCGATGTGTACTCGTTCGGCATGTGCGCTTTGGAAATGGCTGCATTGGAGATACAGAACGGAGGCGGGTCGGAGATCATCACGGAGGAAGCAATTCAGAAAACAATCGACCAGTTGGAGAACGATCAACAGAAAGATCTCATAAAGCGGTGAGTCCTGCCGGAGCCTTTCGTCCTGGCGGAGGCACTCAAGCAAGCGATCAATTCTTTCGTACGACAGGATCCTTGAGTGGGTTCGTCTTCCAGATGTCTCAACAATCTGCCACGGCTCCGTCCGACCACGAGAGAGCTTCTTTTCCATCCTGTTCTATTCGAAATCTACTCTGCGCAAGGTGAGCCTGAGGCCAAATTCCTCATTCGGGTTCCTGATTGGGGACTGAACTTCCACGTCGAGGGTTTCTCGGCTGTTCTTTCAGCTCGAGTCGGTTGCTTATCTGACCTTTTCCTTCTAGTATTGTCGGCCCATGCAATCGTCCAGAGCTCGTGGTACCAACCGGATCAGCTAACGGACAAGGCTATGCAGCTCCGATACTCTCAGGTTGACGTGGTGGCCGAGATAACGCATCAAGATGGTCGCGAGGGAGTCGCCATAAAGAAGAAACAAGTTCCTGCACTAGAACTAGAAAAGCTCCTCGAGGATGTTCGGAACGGGATCTTCCCCCTGACAGGTAAGGTTCCGGCCTAATCACGGAACGTCTGTTGACGGGTCGAATTCAGGCTCTTCATCGAGCTCTTTTCGGAAAGGACGGAGGAAGTATCTCTGCTGTCCGATTTGCCGAGAGCCTCCTCTCCATCTGACTCCGACTTCGGCTAGAATCGCAGCTCATTGCTTCCCATTTTAGCTTTCGGGCGTGGCCCCAACCCGGTATCTCGAGGGTTCGGTGTGCGACCTCGAACCCCAGAACTTCCAGAGAGCAAGATCAGCCCTAGTCCAGCGGAATACGATCCTGAGACCCGAAGGATTCTCAACATAATGTGTAACATAAAACAGGTAGATCGAATGCCTCCGAGGACGAAATTCAAGGCGCAGTCTCTCCTCTATTCGTAAGATGGACCGCTCATACCCGCGCCTAATTCCAGGAAGAGGTTCTACCCGCCCCCAGTGTCCCTGGTGCCACCCCAGTACCAAACGCTCATCAATCGCATTCCATGGTAATATTCATTGACAGGCTCTGAGAATTTCGGAAGTATCCGATCTGGGTGAGCATTGGCGCCCAGATGACCGATCCTTCGACTTCGACAGGTATTGACCCTCTTATTGAGATTCGATGATAAGATGAATCGCCAGTTGTCTACTAACCTCACGACACCAGAGGAGGTGCAAACCCTAACACAGGACCTGGTTCAGTTGGGGTTCATCAACAAAGAAGATTGGGCAATGGTTGATCAGGTGGGTGCGGAGGTCCTGTTGGCTTGAGGGTACGCCTCCAAACCTCAATCGGGACCGGAAATTTTCATGATGATCTCGGCTCTACCTCACAGGTACTCATGGACACCATGAAGCGGTATTTGAAGCAACAACTCATGGGTACCGTTCTATCACCCGAAGACACCGCAGAACCTCTAGAGATCCAAAGCGTAATGGGTCCACCGCATCATGATGCTATCATGCATCTTGCCTGATCGGAGGCTTCAGGCTCCCAGAGGACCGCGAAGCAGCTGGATTCCTGGAAGAGGCCAGGGAGTTGTGCCTTGTCTTAAGCTTTGTCATCATGGGAGAGAGCAGTCAGTGGAAGATTTTGACAGCGTAGTATGTGATCATATTGAGCGCGCGCGTGCGATCGTTTCACAAGGAAGGGTAATAAACGACGCGTTTTTCTGCTAACTCTTCTCATCTGATGATGTCCCCGACTGCCTCCACTCTCGATTCCAGAGCTTTCTGAAAACCTTTGAAGCCCTTCCAGTGCCATGGTGACGGCCGTTTGCTAACTGAGGACACCCCAAAGGCACTGAAGGGAGAGATATGTATCTGATCTGCGCACCCTCCATATATTGGATTCGACTGACCGAGTGACAGGAAGAGGCGGCATGAAATCGTGGTCAGGGACAGATTCGTCGGAATATCCTTCACGGAACGCGATCAGTCTTTCCGCAATTTTTGAAGTCCTTTACCAGAAGAATTTGATTGCAGAATTTCTCCTCTCCATTAACCGATCAATGTAACAATTCGACTGAAACTGGTGGCTCTACACGTTTGGAGTTATAGGTGATTCACCTGAAACGTCTTTCACGACGCTCGATCTTTCTAAGGGTTTATATTCAGTCGCACAGAAGAATCTGCGTAACGGCCTCAAGTGCGTGTCGGAGGATTATGCCTAGCTCCCTCCGGGAAGTACGCTTCTCTTTAAGATCCCTTCGCAAAATTCACGTCAGGCTTCACTTTGTCATTATCTGAGGAATCTCCTTTGCGGACTCATGGAACCTCGAAATCATCACCATTATCTCGCTTGACCATCTGTCTGGTCTGATTGACGGGGGATTCCGTTGACGTCATTGAAGGACGGCCAATGACTGCAGAAAACCCGGCTGGAAGAGGAAAACAACCACTACGTGATCTTGACGCAGCACAACACCACTTTGATTGAAGAAAACATCGTACGATCGGACTTATTGAACGGTCCAGCGCTTTTTTCACTATTGGCGTCAGCAGCGCACGACATGATGCGACGCGATGCTGAGGAAGATTGTTGATGCCCGGGATGCAAAATCGCAACCGCACCTGCTCCGCTAATCGCGCTGAATGCGTCGGTCAGACATCGACTCGACACTTGGTTGTCGCTCGAATCCGATTCTCCGCAGCGAAATCCCAACGACGCAAAACTGTAGGATGAGCTTCTCGCGGAGGAAGATCGTGGCGTCATTGACTGTCTCCCAGCTATCTCCCATAAAGAATTTGACTTAAAGTCGTGATGATAATAATATTGACGGGTTTGTATATATATGGGTATGTATCCGTGTATCCTGAATCTTCATTTAGGCCGATGAGTGTCTCCAGGGCCGTCTCCTCTCCTTTGGTCGGGGCAGGTAATGATTCCGGGTTTACCCTACTTTCGAGGACTAGGTCGGATCAGGATCTCTTCGGAAGAGTCTGTTCGTTGATTAATGCCCCGATGTCGGCGCGTCTAGATGTCGCAGGGGAAAGTGGGGTCAGAATCGAGCGTCGCATGTGCATTCCTAATTAAAAGGCATGCGGTTCATACAGTTTGACTTGTTTAGCGCGAACGTCGGTACTTTCGAGGAGGAGGAGCCGCTGATGATGAGAAAATCGGAAACAGTCACCATTGCTCGCGCGTTCGTTGCCGTGCGATAACAGGAAACTCTCATGACTCAATGACGTATCGAAACGGCGTAATGTCAGAATTTTATCAGTCGCAACGAACATCTCCCGATGTCCGTCGGCGGATTGCTGCTGCTGTCGGCTCTAATTTGACGAAATTCGTCATCGCTGCGGACAATCTCTCGTGGACAGGAATCCGTGTTTCCCGTCGCCCCTTGGGGATTTCTCGGATTCACAGATGCGCGGGATGTCTTGTTGATGAATTCTGGATACAATTGTAGATATCACCAGCCTAAATCACAGGAAGACCATTCACCACTCTGCGTCTAGCTGGCCGGATCCAATGACCATCAGGGGATCACGCAAATGGCTCTCATCGACACCCACGTGGCAAACGGGAAATAACGGATATCGCAGATTAGAGCTCCTGATTTGTGCAACCCGAGTGATTTCTCGGGGGAAACGCAGATCTTCCCGTTGAAGCGCATTCGTTAGACCCATGGGAATGAGTGCCGTCAAGCGTTTACGACCGTGTACCTGAGATGAGACGTAGGAGTTCATGCATCGATTCTCCCAATATCGCTCCGGAATTTCCTCGAAGAATTTCCCAGTTGAAATCCGGAGTGGTCCTTCCGGCGTAATTCCGATCTCCGCCTGCCTGCCCCACGTCAAGGAACTTCGGATGAACAGACAGATCGCCGCACATCCGTTCCGAAGACATTCAAACCTGAGGAAGGGTGATGGAAAATGATTCCGAGAGATAGCGTTAGTGAATTGACCGCTCGAAGCGGATCTGGGCTGCCGATGGGAACTTTTATTCTCGCGTTCTGTAAGCGAGGAAGCCGGTAAGAGTTGGGTCTTCGACCGACCCCGTCATGATATGTGCGACGGAGGGAGTTTTTCTCCCCAAGGGTGAGACTTGCGTCAAACGACGGAAAATCCGAGCTCCCGATGTCAACGGAACTCCAAGCTCTCGAGCCGACCCTTATTAGCTACCAAGTCTATCGCCTGAAACGGGATGGCTCACAATGCGTGCTCAGGAACTAAGCTCACGATCGGAGTGTTTTGTTCTGACTGGCTTGTTGAGGGACCAAGACTCCGAACCTCGGGGGTATAATTGGAATATTGGTGATGATCTGTGTAGCGCGTGGCAGGGGCTGGTACACCTCTGCGCGTGGCACTCTCCAAGGGACAGCATGCTCCACTGTATCAAGGGCGGTGGGGTTAAACTTAATTGGGCATGAGGCACCATGGTCGAGAACATCGGGCAAAATTCCGAAAAGTATCCGCCAATGAGCGCCATCTCGCCTGGAGGAGTCTGAAGCCATTCTTAGTTCCAGCTCCGGAACCTTGGCTCTCGGTCAAAGGCCTGATTTCGTCGACAGCTCTTTGATATTCCGGGCAGAATCCTTCTTACTCTTTGCCCCACGTTCTCCTAGAGCCTCCTGGAGCGGTCGCTACTTCGAATACACCGAAATTCATCGTCATGATTTATTGTCTCATTGACGAACGCTCTGAGACGCGGCCCATTGCTTTCCCGCTGCTGGAGGGATCGACACGGGGAACGACATCCGAGAATGCGATTTGTTTCACCAACCGTGTCTTCTTCATCTTATTTGCTCGTCCATCTCCGAATCGATCATGATTCATGAGACTGAGCTTGCATGCTGCCGAGGCCGTTTTGAATGTATCACCAGAGACGAATAGGGAACGATTTCGCCGTCTCTCGCTGGGAAACGGAGCTCCGTGCCAAACTTCCAAACCTCAGAGCAGGCCCTCTCAGAGGGACCCTCTCGAGCGAGCCTTTTGGCGGTCAGCGCATGTTTTCGCTCGGTGAAAAATCTGGCCGTCTACAATGAAGGTTCTCTCGTGAGACATGATTTAGTGGCATATATGGCTTAGATGAACATATGCGCTTTGGAGTAACGTTGGAGGGGCGGCGCCGGCATGCGGTTAAGCAGATTGCACTTGTTTGAAGATCCCAAAGCTTCCCTCGATGGAAAATGGAGCGCTGTTGGATGCTTGGTTGCCTGAGCCGATCAGCGATTCACCATCGCTCACGTATCAGATCCAGAGTTGGGGGCTATGTTCTATGTTCGATGTCCTGATTTTCGGTGCTAGCAGACGAGCGATCCTCAAATTCTGTGAGCACGCGCATGTCACGTTGCGGTTCCAAACGTTCCGTTGATGTGGTGAAGCAGTCGAACAAGAAGGAAGCCGAGACGGCACTTTTGAAAACGCCAACGAAGAATCGACAGTTACACCATTCTTCAGTTGGGTAAAGTTCTCTTAATTTCTCTTTCGGCGACGGTATCACCTGATCCGGCTGCTCAGAATCGATGTCTGAATCGTACCGGAAGTTCTATCATAGATTCAATCTGTCTCGCAAATGGCATTGGCAGCCTTCCTGCTCGAGATGTCCGTACCCTGATCGATCCGCTGGTGGGTTTTAAACGCAGGCCACCTGATAAGTCGAGATGCCCGATGAAATTCGAATCTGTATTCGGCTTCCATCTAGGATTTCGAATCATAGACGGTGGCTCAATTCTGTCGCGAGGCTTACCTGGACGATGCCGAACACCCGATCCCGTACAGACATCGCGATTTCATGAAATGCGCGTTGGAAATTCCGGAGCCTGATCTTAGTCAGTCGGAGCTCGGGTGATCGGGCTCTCCAGGGATGGTGCTGCCGCCACCGGGCGTCGGGGTGGCCATCCGGAGACTCGTCCTCGACCTTGCCGCGAATTAAATTCAGAGGAGATTAGAGTTAGCGGTACAGAGTTTTACGCTACTCAATCGTCTCAAAAATTTATCGTTCGGAGAAAAAAACAGCTCTCGCGCCTCGAGACTTGTCACGCGTCGTAGATGTTCTGACGGCAGATGGCACCTGTTCGCTTCCTTCCACGTTCCACTGGAAATGAATGAGCGGACGATTCGGATTCCAGACCCAATCACGGTACTGGCCATCTCAACGTCATTGGATTGACGTGAAAGTCTGCTAATGAGTATTTGCGGCGGCTGGGTGGAAGCGGTTTTGACGTGTTTATCAAACGGGGAATATTTATCGGTGAATTTCGAAGTCGGGAGCCAAGAGCTAGATCAAAGTTGTCATTAGTAAAGTTGAGCGGATTCGTTGCCACCATTTTATGCGCGACACCTGTTCAAAGCGAATCGGAACTTCAGTCGAAACCAGAGACCTTTACCACAAGAACCCCGTGAAATGTCGACGCTCCCTCGCGCTGGTAACATTGTATCCGAATGTAATCTAGCTCCGGGCGATCGGCAGATCCCGACAGCTGAAACCCAGCAACCGTGTTCCGTTTCTCGTATCATCTTGCACTTCAACATCATCGCGACCTTCTCATGTGCTCGGAATTGTAGGATTCGATCACATAACAACTCCGCATCATATGACGTGGATTCACGATCATGCTCAGAGATGATATTATGGTGACCAGCCTTCCGCATGCGATTTGATCGAATTGCTTCGATTTCCTCCTCACAATAGCAGCTCATCAAGTTTTTCAAGCCGAAAATGAGTGTCGTCTTTTGAATCGGAGTTCAAATTACTGGTATCGTCCAATCGTCTTGCCCAGAATTGGCCGGAAACGAAATTATACCATTGTCTGGACGCGTGCGGGCGTGCCAAGAATCCTGACTGAGGGCTGACACAAAGGAGACACACTGGGGATCCTGAAGCTAGAAATCGAAATCCCCTAAAGGGTATGCTGACTGGCAACGAATCGCTTCGTTCTACTCGATCCCATTCAAAAATAGCCTCAGAACAGCTGGGCGCAGGATCGTGGTCCACATCGAGGTTTCGGTCCACCTCCCTCTCTTCCTCGCTGAGCTCACCGGCCGGCTTGGCTGTCGGGCCCGCTCTTGGCTGGACCGCTCTGCCGCCGCGGCCGTCGCCGCTTGGTGGGTCGGTCGGTAGCGGCTGAGCACACGCTGATGTGCTTAAGGGAAAAGGGAGCTGAGGGAACTCAGTATCCGTGAAGTCGTCATAGGTGCGCGTCGTGAGACTGATCGTCCGATCGATCCCTTTCCTCAGGGACCAATCAGATGGTGAGGTGCTGCCCGCCGATGCTATTGTGGTATAATTCGCTGTCCCCGGCCGCCCCATAGGAACTCAAGCCATCGTACGATCTGGTCCCTCTCCCGTCCGTGTGGCCCGGCAAGCGAGGCGCGGGCTGGCCCTCCGCTGTGAACCATTCACGTCAGAACTAGTGCCGCTACGAGAACTTTTCGAACTACTTAAAGACGGACTATTACAGAAAGTCCGGCACAACTGTCATTCGGACTCACTGTGTGAGGTGTGTCTCCGCTTAGTTGAGTGCCTTGTCTGTAGGGTGCTACGTCTGCTTACCATTGAGCATTCCCGCTTGCTCCACCGACCCGTTAGTTGCCTCTGTTCCCCACCGCGTCTTTCACGGCTTCATGCTTGGACCGTTGATCTGCCAAGTGTTATGGGAGATCCCAAAATCAGTGCTTGAATCGTGATTTCCGATACGTGTCTGATTTTCGAAGAAAAACAAAGCGGCAGAAATCCTCGGCCACAAGTGATTGCTCTTCGGATAAATCAGAGGAGACTTCGCAGGTGTGTATGATTTGCTGACCGCCCCACTAGTTCGCGAGTTTTCTGCGATGTGGACGGACACGTGAGTTGGAAGCAGCTCCCATTAGAGGCCCAGTTCGTCACTTCACCGGTCTCGGAGTTGGTCTTTCTGGGATGCCCGTGACCTTGTTCACGTGAGTCCAGCGCTCATTTTCCCCTACTGCTTCCTGCGTCTGAGTGATTCCTACATCACACGACATAGCGCGTGCGAAGCGACTTTCGTGAGGTGTTCTTCGCTTGGACACTGAGGAAAAGTTCGGATCTCTCCCCGGTTCCCTGCGCGTCGGCTACGGCTTCTCACACGCCTGAACCCGACTGAAATCCTTTGTCGATGTTGTCGCCGCCTTGCGGAGTCTCATGCGGGGGACCGAGAGAAATCCCGGGACGGATAAGGAGAATTTCCGGGGGTTCTAGACCCTTCCGAAAGCGAGTGGAGTGCTTGCTTTCTGGAAAAATCCTCCCGAGGATTTCTCAGCCATGACCGTCATTGTTCCCTCCTCCCTCTAGGACGACGTGTCGTATCCTGCAAATTACCCTTTCTCTTCGCCGGCTCATTCCCTCGTCGTCCTCAGAATTCCTTGCGGTCGATCCCCTCTTCCCCTAACGTACTTGCACACATGTATGTAGATCGAGCCGCTGCGGTGGAGGCGGTAGCGGCGAGTTCGGGAGCAGCAGAAGTAGCGGCGGCAAGAGCGAGCGGAGCGAGCAGCCACGAGGAGCCGCATTGGCAGACAGGCCTCGCAAATGATGATTCGTGATTTCTTTCCAGCTATGCTCCGCGTGTTCGTCTTTCTTCTCTGCCTGGCCACTGCCATTCACGCGCGTAGTCTGTGCGATCTCAGCGCAGACGACGGAATTCGATGCGAATGCACTGAAACGGAGGCTGTCTGCGAACCTACCCGACCGCTGGAGTCGCTGGTTCCTGCCGATCACAGACTCCCATACGAAAAATTCAAAAGCCGTCGGAACGTCAGAACCGTAAGTGATAGTAAGATAGTTTCTCGCTCGACTTTGTGTTGCTTCGAACCTTGACGAATCAAGGGGGACCGAGCGCGCCCAGCCCTCCACATGGTCAGACCGATTGGCACTGGTTCGAGTGACGTTCGTTCTTATCGAAAGCTACGGATTAGTCGGTGGAGCATTCACAAGAAAAACGGCTTTCTGATCACCTGGAAGAAAAAAGATCGTTCGTACCGAGCCAACGGTCGGGATGAAGCGAAGATGACTTTGCTCCCGTTTTGAAAAAGGTGGCCACTTCTTGCAAGGCGAGAACCAGAGGAAAGTTCTCGTTTTCCGTTCGAATAGCGTAAAGACTAATAATCCTTGATATCTCAGAATCTCTCGAGACGCTGTCCTTGCGGCGTTGGAACCTTAGTTCGCAGATTTCTCGATTTCAATTCGTCGACGCATCAATTAGCAGAATCGTAAATCACCTCCGTTTCTCGCTTTGAAGCCTTGCCGGAATCGACGGAAGAGTATATATCCGCTACCGCATCCCGAAGGTCCGCGAGGACACCGAGGTGAAATATATTCGGTCGGTATCATATGGTTCTCGCTCCGGCATAGTCGCTGAGAGATTGGAGAGTCATGCGAAGAAGAATCGAGAGCGAGGTAGAAAATTACTCTAGAAAGTTCTCCGTGTCCCCGGTGTCATCCGGTGGTCTCAACCTGAAGAGAATTTGTTCGTCAGAGGAAATACCCAATGCTCCGCCGCACAGAAATTTCTGACGTCATGAAAACAGTCATTTGCTCCACGATTCGCTGGACGATGACGTGTCACTAAGTGCGAGCCGGACACCTGAATTATGTCCAAAGTTACGATAGCTTCCCCTTCGGCGACTGAGTGAGCTTCGAGCTGCTTGTTTTTCCGTCGTGGATTCCGTCTTCTCTGGAACTCCACGTCCTCGACCACGAGACGGCTGAATAGTTCATGTGGACTATATACTCTGTGGCTTGCCGAGCATGGTGACATTCGATAACGATTTGAATGACTGTCTACCGCAGACTTCCAAATAAGGTTCATGAAAGTGGTAGCCGCGATCAACTGAGCAGTGACGCTGATCAGCTATCAGCGTCACGTATTTCTCCTTCGCAACGATCCTAGTTCGACATCGAGTTAAAAACTTCGGTCGATACGCGTCAAGCCGCTGGGCGACCCTGATGGACCGAGACACGTTTGGGGCAGCAACGATTTCGGAGCTTCCCATGCGCTTCGAAGGCACGATTGTGTTTCGAGTCGCACTCGAAGTCCGGCTCGACTCGGCTTACTTCAACGTTTGACCGCGTCCTTGATTTCAGATCACTTCGCTGTTGCTTCAATCGCCCGACGACAAATCCTTACTGAAAAAATTCCCCAATGACATCTTCAAAGAACCCTTGCACTTCAAAGTTGTCACCGTCGCGCACGGAGCGCTCTCCGTCCTCGAACCGTTCACCGCATTCGGTTCCGATATTGTTCGGGAGCTCACCATCAGCGAATGTGACATAACAGAATTGAAGAAGAAGGCCATCGTTGGTCTCAAGGTTGGTGACATACATATTACTCCGTTTTGTTTTCTACCTCATGCAGTCTGATACCCTCATATAGACTGGGGAGCCTGGGTCAGTCGCTGATGCGCTGCAGATTAGCTGGGAATCCATTATTCAAAGCAGATCCGTCTAGAGCAGTGTTCCACAGGGCGGTGCACGCGGAATTTCCGCCTATATAGAAGCCTATTGGGGAAGGGGCATGGTGGGCCGTGGGTCAGCAGCGTGATGGGGCACGATGGAAGATCTTTTAGGACCGTTGCTCTAGCGTAAAAAGTCCGTAAAGCGAAATGTTCGTCTGCTGGAACGTTCCTGGATCGTGTTGACTGTACTCCGACCGGAAATTCCGAACATCATAAGGGGCCCTATCTCTCCCTCCGCGGGAAGCTCCTGCGCTTTGCGAGAGGATAATCCTCTGACAGAGATGTTGTTTATTCTGCAGAGTCTTATGAAACTGGACCTGTCGATGAATTTGATGACGGAATTCGGGACTGGGGTTCTGTCAGATCTACCGATGCTGGAAGAACTGATCATCGCGCATTCGGAGCTAAAGGAGGTCAAGGCGCACGCTTTCGTCGAGCTCGGAGCGCTGAAGTCGCTCTCGCTTAAGGTGAGCTGAATATGTACCTTTTCTACAAGTCGATCCAAAATCTTCTCCGGACGGTCAGGATGTATCGCTAATTTTCTCCTAGAGACGACCTTGCACCGGCATCGTTCGGCATTCACTGAGCGCCCGGCGCGTTTGACCCGTTGTCGGGCGAGTTGCCAAATATTTGAAAAATTACTCCGCTCAGGAATGCAGCAATGGCAAACACCTCACGAATTAGTTCGTGTTGTATTCCCGAACATTTGATCGTATTCTCACAGTAGGGGATCGGGGTGAAGTATGATCTATTCAATCGGGTCATTTTTTTCGCAGGACAATAAGCTGACCTCCTTCGACAACGAGCTCTTGACCGGACTGGAGCGCCTCGAGAGACTTGATCTCAGCTATAACTTCTTGGAAAAAATTGACGACAACTCGTTCGTGGATGTTCCTAGACTCACTCACATTGATCTCACGGGGAATCGGCTTCTAAGCGTTACTCCTACGACATTCAAAGGACTGTACTTCCTCCGCAACTTGAGCATGGGTTACAACGACCTCACGAGTCTCCCGGACGCCTTTTTGCGAGATTCTCGAGTACTGAAACACCTCAATCTGGAGCGGAACCGTCTACGAACCGTCACGTTGGACTCACTGCATGGCCTCCAAGTGATCAGGCCAGACTTCTTCTTGGACCTTAGATGTAAGTCGAATCGAGAGAGTAGTATTCGTTCACTCTCCAAGCGGCTCCGGATTCCAGCTTCCCTTTGCTCGCTTAAGTGGGACACGCGACTGAATCCTTCTTTTTTCTTACAGTCAACCCTCTTACTTGCTCCTGCGATCTTTATTATTTGACGGAACTCCGAAAACGTCGATTGGCTACTATGGCGAACGAATTCGAAGACCCACCGGAATTCAGGAATCGTGAGTATCGGAATGTTCTTCCTCCTCGGCACACTATCAGGCCGATACTGGAATCAATCTATTCGACCATGTATACTCGAGCGTAATCTTCGATATATCAACGTGATGTTTTTTTTCTAGTCCAATGTAGAGTTCCGGACGGAGACTCGTTCGAACCCAGGGTTATCGATGATGAGCTCTTTGTGAAGAATCAATGCCAAGAGCTAGGGGGTCTCGCACAACATATCCCGCCCCCGAGCTCGCAGAGCATATCTCACTCCCCCACGTATTCTTCGGCCTCATCGTTGAATACCTCTACCGCAAATCCTCTGCGACCTCTTCTACCGGTCATTCTGGCAGCTTTACTCCTCCTGCGATTAGTTGAACACTGACGTGCGATCAACATCCTGTAAAAAAAATGTTATCATCCCGGGAAAGTTCTTATAGCATCCATCATCTTTGACACTCATCATTTTAGGAAGCATCGATCCCAATTCTGAATGATTCAAACATGTTTACGATAGATAACATAGTACCTACTTGAATGCGGTGAAATGTGAAAGCGTGGCTGTCGGTCGTGGGATGGGGTCCACTGCTCGGGAAAATGGCAAGCTTGTTGTGGGACTGTACGAATGCTTTGAGACAGTTTGCACAGAGTTATTTCAGACTACCCGATGTCCAGGATCGCGAACTCTTACATGCCTCTATCTCAGTGCAGTCGAAAGACATTGGTCGCGTCTTCTCATTCTGTGCCGGACAAAGTCAGTTAGCTGTGAAATCGAACTTCTACGATTAAGAATTGAGGCTTTTTCATTGCACGACGACAGGGGAACATCACTCTCACGATGTTTCCCTTCAGAACGAAAAGAAAGTATTTATTTTACAAGCCTTGTCGAACTTGATTGAGAGATTATAGAGATAAAAGCGCTGCTAATTTGTACTCCGCTGTTTTTTATTCAAACATATGTTCTAGGTTCATGTTAGTCGGCATGAGAGGTAGTGGACGTCTGTAGCCCGAGTTCCAAGAAAGGACGTCTGCGAATGAAATATATGATTCTCCGGTATGTCTGCTGTTGTCTTATTCAGCCCCGATATTGAGCGACCGATCAGATGTGTCGAGCCTTCTAAGTTCGTCTCGTGTCGCCGTATATACCAAAGGTGTCAGCCGTGCTTATGATAATCATATTGCATACAGCGCCCCACTGGCATACTGAAGAAAAACAGAGCGTTCAAGGAATTCGAACATCTAGAGATTTTCCCGTTCTGGGATTCCACAGTAGTCCGTCTCTTGGATAGTAGCAATTCTGCCAAGGGAGATCTTCTCGAGATCCGACTCGGAGTATCGGTTGATGGAGAGAACCGATTGATGCTCTCGGCCAAATCCGGTCGAAGGTCCGGACGTGATGGACTGTTGATGGTCTGCACCGAATCAAAGCGATCAGTTTGTCGGGTGGAGCTGACCAATGAGGTATTGGGTGGGATTCCCGACCCAAGTCATGGATCCCCGAAGACTCATTCATCAGTAGAATACCTTCATGAGGAATTCTTTGATGTCGAACTTCTCTTCTGCCTTCTCAGCGATGACTCACTGGCATCCGCTCACCGTCGAGGGCTCTGGATGGGCTTGAACTTAAACAGAACCTCATTCCCCAAGTTGCCTATGAAACGAATGTGCCGCCTATCTTCGGCTTCCATTGGAAATCAGCAGGAGTTTCGTCAACGCAAGGGAAGCGGCGGGATGTCTGAGATTCCCCGCCCTCTCTCATTTTCTGATGGGTTTCCCGAAAGCGAACCTCCTCTTGTAGCGTAACGTCCGAGGGTCACCTGATTGCGCTGTACGGTTGACACCCAGAGACCAGATCAGAGGATCGGAGCGATTCCGGCGCCGCACAGTTTCAGAGTGCCGCGCCGGGAGAGTCAATAGAGAGGATGAGACTGGCGTGGGATGACATTTCCGATCAATGAGCCAGCTGTAGGGCCCCTCCCGCTTCCAACAGACGACCGAGCGTTCCGACGGCTACATACCGCTTTGCGAGAGGCGGCCATCGAGGTGACATGGAGTCGTCGACGGAGCTCCGGCACAGGAATGCTGCGACCTGCCCACCCTCTGCGAATCTGCCGCCGCCGCAAGCTGACAAGCCTCACCCGGAAGATTTGGCAGAAGTGAAGTTCGACATCAAAGGATTCCTCATGATGGGTCTGATGATGACAGGCATCATCGTTTTCGTCTTCATAATTTTCACCGACGAGTTAAGTCTTTCAAGTAAGAGAATCGAGAACTTTGGTGAGCAACTCAATCGTTACGAGGCACCGGAGCATCCCTGAATTGCAGAAATCCATTCCGATCCCACAATTGTTCACTTTCATCGGAATGAAGCTCCGAGCCGAGTGCCGTTTCTTCTTTCAACCTTGACGAGGGCAGACAGATATCTCTGCGTCTTCGATCAACGCCGCATCGGAATGATTCTCCTAAGCATTCGCGTGTGAGCTCGCTCGGACATCCGCTCGCGGCAATCGCAACCGATGACGAGTTCGCTCTCTATAACAACTGATCGAAGTGTACCCTGGATCGATCAGGAGGCGACCCCTGAATCGGAAGCGCCGGTTAACCCCGGACTCGCGGTGCGATGGGCTGGAGAGAATACACCGAGAATCAACTCCAGAAGCGAGCACGCGCGCTCGCGAGCTCCTTTCGCAGCGGGAAGTTCACTGTATTCTGCATAATCTCAATGTACCTGGTATATTCAACCGCTCCTATGCTTCACCGTCACGGAAACCGATCCCGGGAAGAAGAATCGATGTCTCAGCACTTAGCACCCTCCATAATATTATGAGGACTTGTAGACTACTACCTAGCTCAACAAGCATTCGTCCCTAGCTCCTTGCTCGTGATAAACCCTCGATGCAGAATTGGCATCGAAAGCCATCCCGTGAGGGCGGCGCTGGGGACCGTTCGAGTAGAATGGGAATAGGCGGTCAATAATCGTCCGAAGCAGCTTGCAGCTGTGCCTCATCCAATCAGTCGCTATGCCCGAATATTCGCATGGTCGATTAGAATTCCAAGCTTCGACGGAGTCGAGGCGCGATGAGGATTCTGTGAATGGAGGCGCATGCTGATTCAGAGAAATATGATAGAGAGCGCTCCATCTTCCGGAATACTCGAAAAGAGGAGCTCGTTTCTATCAAATGGAATCCCGAGATTAACATTATTAGCCCAGTCTGAGATCTCGAGAGGTGCTTCCGATCCCGTCGTGGTGTAGTGTAGGTCTGCGACCCTCCGCGGCGCTTCACAGGCATTCCGATGGCGAGTACCGGGCGGAGTCGAGAGCGAACTCTCCTCGCGGCATTGACTCCGGACTTTCGTCTCATAGGCTACGAACGCCTAATTGCACAATGCTCTCTGAGCGTTTCTGTGAATCCCATGCTTACGCTCCTCTGTTTTTCGCTCTCACAAGAGATAACGGGCCCTCTCTCATCTCCGGAGGTAGTCGAGAAAACCCCGTGGAGTGCTGCGGTGGTGGCTCATTCATCGAAGTATTTCACTACGAGTCCGTGAGGCAATCAAGCTCGGAAGCCTTTGAGTGCAATGATCTCTCAAAAACTCCTCCCTGTCTTCTTCATGTTCTGCATATTCTCCGATCTTGTTGTCCATGGTTCGAGAATTGGTACAAAAGAACGTCTCCGAAGAAACGTGCCGATACCTACTGGCTCGATACGCAAAAACATTGTGTCTCAGCGGCTAGATGTGTCCCGGAACTTGACCGAGTCTCCCTATGGCGGAATACCACACACAAGGATGGAATCAACGATGCTTCTCCCAGCCCTCCCCGACGTCAGCCGACAGTTTTTTGGAGTGAGCGCCAACTCATTTGGATCGAATCGTCCACGTTCACGTTCGCGCACGGCTAGATCTACCAATGAGCCTCGTCGCGGATACTACACTGAAACGCACTTCAGTCCCATTTTCGATAACATGGACGGGAGGGGGGATGGATTCACGACTCAGCTGTGGAGTCCCGTCAACAACTTCGATAGGTACGACCGTTTCCAAGCGCGTTCACTGAATGGAGGTGCGCAGGATACCCCTAACCTCCTGGGCAGTGCAGCACTCGTCGGGGTAGACGAAAGAGTCATTAACGTCATTGAGGAGTTTCCTGTCGATTGCAGTCAAAGAGTGCTTTGTAGAATTGGAACGGGTCTCGTGGATTCATCGCCCCTGCAAGCATTGTTACTCTACTCTTTCGGAGGCAACGTATTCGGCTATCGCGACGTCGGGTCAGACGACGCGATTCGCGCCGCTCTAAACGGTGAGGAATGTGAGCGTATCTTCAGAGCCTGCCCCGCAGACTTGGCTTGATCCACGAGATGAACTTACGACTCCGATCTGGCCCAACCCCAAGCAGTAATATATAAACCTCCTGTACGAATGATGTGAGTGAATAGTGAAGTGTTACACCAAAACGACTCCGTAATCAATGAAGGCTTACGAGCAGAGGCGCGCGCCGGGGGGCCATGGCCCTACCAACGTTCGTCGGTTTCAATGCTAAAGCGTGGACCCCGAATGGCGCGTCATCATTTTCGGTCGTTTGGCCCCTCCAAAACTCTACGTTGCCCCCCCCCCCCAAAAAAAACTCCTGTGCGCGCCCCTGCTTACGAGGAGTCGGACCTATCTGATCGAGAATCCGAGGAATATCAAGTAGTGCTCATCTTGGCAGAATTCTCAGAGTGGAGATGATCATAGCCACTTCAGCAGCAAGCAGTTCACACAGCCGTTTTCGGGATTTAGCAAATAGCCATGCTACGGCGGAGTCGATTGGGAATTCTATCTATTTAAGCTTAGATAGGATCCTCATGCGGTAAACTCCGCAGTACAAACGTTTTTTCGGATTCAATGCCCTCAGAGTTTCATCGACGCCGACGGTCTGCTGTGCCCTCGTTCTTGTGCCCCGACCTCGCATTTCCCACCCGCCATCTCCGAATGATGCTCACTACCACTCTCCTCACTCACGGGCGAACTCAAGTCCTGTTCGATGGGATAGAACATACATATATCTTTCATTCGACCTTCTTATGGGCATCGCGATGCCATAAGGAGAAGACTTCTCCTCCCCTAGAAGACTTCCCTAAAAGTTAGAGCGCAAATAGCCGATCTCACCGCCCGTTAATGGGGAAGCGTCGGCCTCCGCCGATGGATCTTCTCCTGCTCATTCACGAAAATGCACTTTGCTTCGTCAAGTTGCGGCACAATACCAAAATCTTGGAAGAATGTGCTCGCAACGGCGCCGTCGCCAAGTGGACTAAGTAAGATGTGCAGTCAGAAAGAGAGAGCACTATAGCTCCTGAGGGGTAACTCTCGTGGCGGATGCGATTCGTGACTCCCTGTTTCCCTTCCCGACTGTATGACGACAGCCATGCAGAGGCACGACCTCGACCACTGGTCCGCAGTTCGAGCTTCGGGAGGGTGCTACAGCGATATGCTAACCGCATGGCATGGGAGAAGAAGATGTCGCAAGTGTCAAGCGTCGAGTCGGGAGAATAAACACGTGTGGATCCATTCTGACTATGACTGCTGTCAAGTGAGGAAGTCAGGATTCAATAATCGCTGCCATGGTACTCAAAGCCCGGATCGATCTCGAAACCGAAGTAATCAGCCACCCATCTCTGGCTATTCTGACTGTATTGGACCTCTCGAGCTCTCATCTAAGTGGAAAGATGCAGGCTCACTGACTCGAGGGAGGTATGATGAGCATTTGAATTCAGCCACAGAACTCCGATGCCAGTATTCGTCAAATACCCCCTTTTCGCATATAAGGGTTCGAAGCAAAAATACTGGCCGACATCTAATTCGAAAGAGCATATTCTGGAACCTGAGTCCTAGAGGTGTGATGCCGATTTCACTGAAAACAGGTTTCTGGCACGGTGCCCAATTCAGCGTTTTGC